TACATCTGTATAGGAAATTTCTTAATACTAAGCAATCATTCTTAATATTGAGCAACAGAAGAAACTCTACTTGACGTTATTTTTCAAATTAACCACTGGATTTTAGTTTATAAAATTACAGTTTCAGCATCAAAAGCCTGCATTTTTCTTTTTCCTATGTCTTGTATAAAGTATTTTAAAATTGGGAATATAAGAAAAAGACTAAAGAGAGTTTCTACCATGTGAGAATTTAGGTAACTCTGGCTTTTGAAATAAAACCCATCACCTTTACACATTTGCAATTCAGCCAGTAAAGCCTGCCATGCATGCTCTCCTACACTGTGTGCTCTCTTCCTAGGTTGGCATTAACGTTTTCCTTCAGCATGGATCACTGAGGATGTAGTCAGCTGCAAGTAACAAACTCCAACTCTCACAATAGAGAAACTGACCATCTCACATAACAATAAACCCACACGTACAACAAGTTATAGGATTCATTTTGGAGGCCCAGTAATGTTCTCAAAGCTCAGGGTCTTGCTCTCTTTCTGCTCCGCCCTCCTCAGGTATTCGATCTGTTCTCATGTGGGCTCCCTCCTAGTTACACAAGGGTAAGAGGCAATAGGGTGTGTTTTGAAGCACAAAAGTTTTCCATTTTGATTAAGTTCAACTTATCGTTTTCCTTTTATTGTTTGTGCTTTTCATATCATATTGAACAAAGCATTTGCCTAGCCCTGGATTTTTAATTCTCTAACTGTAACGTGGGCTACATTTTCTGTGGAATGACCCAACTTCCTGATCAATTGTGTTTGGCTAGCTTGGGAGCCTTTTCTGCTACCCACCAGTCACAGGACGCACACAAATACATCCCAACCTCCCAAAACATCAGGAGGCTGTAGACTTCACGCTGCTTCAGCTTCTCCCTTCGAAGTCAGAGACATAACCTAAAATCGAAGAGTGGTCTCCTTCATGGATGAAACTCCTGTTTACGTAGCTTTTAAAGGGGTGAATGGAACATAAATGCTGTTGTTTTACATCTGAATATAGTCTTTAAACTGTATGTTAACTACGTAGCTGATGACAGTTACTGAACCACAGCCTTACAGACTCCTGACATTTAATAGACAAGATACCTGAGACAAACCTAACCTGTGTTCCTTCACAGCCTGCTCTATCTCATGGGATTGTTTATCCTGAAAATGCAAACCCTTTGCAAGGACAGGTCTAAGTAGAAACCTCTGCTCGTTAATTTTGGCCGGTTGTCAGGGTTTCTTATGCTATTTACTCACACTCTCCTGCAGTGCAGTCAATTTAATTGTGGTTTCCCAGATGACTTCGGTTTCCTGCTCAGGAACTCCTCTTGGGTGAAGGATCCATTATCTGTCTCCCAAGTCTACCTTTCGAATTCATCTATTTTATCTTTTTCTCCTCTGCATCCTAAGAGTGTCCAAGTTTGTCATCCGTACTCCTCTTCTATTTTTGGAGATCAGGTCTTCTGATTTTCTGAGTAGGGATTTTAAGTCTCATTGCAGTTTTTGTTTCCTCGCATTCTTTTATTTCGATCAGTTTTTTTGTTTGTATGTTTCTGTTTTCATCTGTCTTTTCCCCTTAGGGCCCCCAGTTTCTTCTTTTCCCAAAGTCATGTTTCTTCTTTTTAAGATACCAGATTTATCCTAAATTTGTTACCTGTGTTTCACACGTAACCATTTTCAGAGAGATACACTGTCCTCAAAGTCATTCTGTCCTTCCCCTGCATTCTGGAAATTTTTTCCTAAGCCACATGCTCGGCGTTTTGACGAGGAGAGTCCCATCTACATCTAATGTTCCTGCACAGGCGGGTAACACATCCCTAGTTTTCTCAAGATCCACTAAATACTAGCACATTTCTCCCTTTCAGATTTGAACTTGTAAATGAGATGTGTTCTCCTCTGAGCCTGACTAGTATTGTGTGACATATATTCCTTTCGATGCATGTGGAGGCAGGATAACTCTTCCTGCTCTGAGACTCGGGCACTCTTGTCATCTGTCACATGTACCGTATGTTGTACACAAAAGACAAGGGTGCACGGCTCCTCCTCCCTGTTTCAAAAGCTCTTAAGTGATCTGCAGTTAGGGGTGGGTGTACGGCACCCTTAGCACCTCCCTCTGCCTCCTGCTGCGGGGCTGCATGTTGGAAGTTTGGATTTTGAAGTGAAAGTGGAGAGAAAGGAGCTAGTGGAGACAGAGGAGGAGCAGGTGAGGGACCCAGGTACGAGTGGCTCCACAGACTGGGAATGACAAATTTGTACCACTCAGTATGACCCAAGGCCTCCCAAAGCTATGCACACTGTGTAAATGAATTTTAAAACATGTCCTACCTAGCATGGGGCGTTTGTCTTGTTCTAGTTCAGAGAATAGAACATGTGCTATATAGTCCAAGACCATTCGCAATCTGTTTCACCAGCCATATTGAAGAACATTCTGCCCAGATCTTGGCATATGGCAATTTGCTTTACAGCACAACTGCTGGACATTTTCACGAGAATTCAGAAGCGGTGTATCAGGCCCAAGTAGTCCACCATCATGTTACTCCAGAAATGTCAAACATAACAGTCTGTTTCCTTTTTAAGTGATTATATCATCTTCCACCATTTTAATTGGACTCAGATTACAGGCTGCTCCTGTGCATTTAATGCTTCTTTTTATAAAAGAAGAAATTGCTTTTCCACACCACTGTGAAGTCAAGATACAGACTTATAAAGAACAACTGACTGCAACTGTTTTCTCTGTCCCTCAGGGGTTAACATTTGTGTAACTGTCTCTCTTGGTTGGCACACCCTGTGCTGAAGAGAAAGAGCCATCTGCTTCACCGTCTGAAAAACACCACTTGTCTGATAGTCCCCTGTCGGTAAGGAGACTGTACTGAAAACCTACGTATTCATGAAACCTATTTAGTTCTGAGGGATGAACAACCACTCTAATCAAAACCGTACTCTCCCAAGTCAAATATACATCTTTCCATTCACAATCATGTCTAAATGTAAACTTTAACTTAGGCCGATGTTCATACTATTTATTATGGCTCTGAATCCAGGTGAGTCAAATAACAGTAATGATACATTTTAAAACCAATATTGATTTTAGAAGTCCTTTTCCCTTGATAGTTAGAAACGAACTGCCACGGATACTCACAGGCTGCCTGTGCCTAGGGCGCTGTGCTCCCAATCCGCACCGTATGCCAACAGTGGCTAGGTGCCGCCCTGAAATACCCACTTTCTTAAGAAAGTGAAATACTGCATGCCATAAATGCACATATTTACTCTTAGTAAGTGAAAAATCTACCACACACTTCATGGGTTAGTTTTTCATTATGAAAGAAAAGCAACAACTTCAAACCTTCAAATTAATTTACGTAACTTACTCCAAATGGTTACATTTAATTAATTTATAATAATTCTTTAAAGTCAACTCTTCAGTAACATAAATGAAAACCTGAGGAAACATTTTGTACTGTCCTCTTATACACAACATCCTATTCTTCAATAGGAGATGTAAAAGAAAGAATAAATGTTGATTTCAGGAAGCTACTCTATAATTGGGTACTTCTTAATACTTTTTCCCTGGATCAGAACACTCTATAAGAGTTGGCAAGCTTGCCCTATAACAGGCCAGATACCAAGTATTTTGTTTTGCAGTCTGTATAATCCCTGTCACATCTACACAGCTGTCATTGTAGAGCAAAAGTGACCATAGATAGTACCTATGCAAGCATGACTGTTTCAATAAGAATTTACATTATTGGTGGGTGCAGCAGCGCATGCCTGTAATTCCAGCACTGTGGGAGGCCGAGGAGGATAGACTGCTTAAGAAGTTTGAGACCAGCCTGGCAAACATGGTGAAACCTCATCTCTACTAAAAATATAAAAAATCAGCCAGGCATAGTAGCGCACACCTGTAATCCCAGCTACTAAGGAAACTGAGGCATGAGAATTGCTTGAGCCTGGGAGGCAGAGGTTACAGTGAGCCAAGATCACACCACTGAACAACAGCCTGGGCAACAGAGCAAGACTCTGTCTCAAAAAAAAAGAAAAAATAAAGAAAGAAAAAAAGAAAAATAAAGAATTTACATGATTACTGACACTACTAACTGGGGCAGGAGGAAGCAGCACATGCAAAGACAGATCCAAATCTGGGACTACACAATTTCACAGAATTATACAGCATTCCTCGCTCTTTTACTTATATAATATACAGGAAGCAATGTTTATATTATTTAATACCAATCAAATGTTCTGTGTAATAGCTAACTCTTCTTCAGTTTCTAACACATGTCACACACGGTTCTAAGTGCTTTGCGTTATCTCATTCAGCTCTCCTACTGGCCCAGCAGGTTTGGAATAGAGTGGGAAGACAGAGGTGGCACCAGACAGTATCCTGATGCTTCTCACTTCTAGAAGTGAAAATGACAAATGGGCACATAAAGGTCCACAGGGCACTCACCCGACAGGCTCTCAAAGTCCCACAGTGTTTCCAGTGGGTCTCCTCTGTTACTGTCCTCACAGGTTGCCCCTTTAATTGCACCATCCCATGATCCAAACACTTCCATGCTGATTTTAATTATAAAATTATCATTTTCACTCAATCCCCCTACTCCATACTGATTGCTCTGCTTCAAAACCATGAAAATTAGATGGAAATACCAGAGTAAGAGATAGGGGATTTGAAATCCCTTGGAGAAAAATGTTTCCCACAAAAGTATGATGGACAAAATATGATTTTTAAGTGTTCATGTTAACAGCAGCCTAACGGGAGAACAAGTATCTTTGATGTCAACAGCAGGAACTCTGCAGATCCTGTTTGTGGGGAAAGAAGAAGCTTGAGAACACTTTCTTCTCTTTGTAACACCTAGAAATTATCATGACTTATATAACTGGCTCAACAATATTTAACTCAACTTTACATATGTTATCGGTTTCAGATTTCTTTATTCACAGATGCCATTATTACTAGGACTAATTTTAATTGGAAGACAATAATATACTTACAAAAATGTGACAGAACTCCTTATTGCAGATTGTTTTCTCTTCGAATTATAACTTCTGCAATAAGAGATCTGATGATGTGCTGGCACCACTTGTTCAGTCTTTCTGCAGTGTTCATCCTTACAGGGAATAGAATCAAGCTGCATCAACATGCAATAAGTGGAAATTTAAGAATGTTCTGGTTATTCTAAGTTTCTAAAGAAATCATTTTCCTATACATTCATTTTGAACTGCAATTTTGTTATAATAGCTTATATGAAAACATCAATAAGACCTAATCATCATCTAAACAATACACTGAATTCCCTGGAGGTACATGGCTCTATTAGCCAATTTTACAGTTAAGGCAACTGGAATTAGAGTAACTCAAACCAAGAGCAAGGAAGCAGACAGTTAAATAGGTCGAAGAGTTAAGTTATAAATGGTCTCGACTCCAACTTAGCGGACTATAGCACCCAGAGCACATCTGTCCACAGACTATGGAAATTCATCACAAATACAGAAAAATTAAAAGAGCATAAATGCAATTCTACAGAAATAATTAACATCACTAGGCACTTATTTTACAAATGGCAAGTATGGGATAGATGAAATGCTGGGAATGGCACTCTGTGGTTTTCTAGTATTGAGTGAGAAAAGAAACCAAAGTAGGACCTGGAATGATGCCCTGTTTGTGACAGTTGGCTTGAAATATAGTCAAAAAAAGTGAGCAGCTAGAGAATGCAAACATAAAAAGTAATTCCTAACTTTTCTATTCTATTCCTTTCTTTCCTATACAAAAGTAATTCCCAACTTTTCTATTCTATCCATTGTGAAACATGTACCTAAAGATCCAGATCACATGAAATTACAACAAAGACAAATTACAAATATAAAAAAGATAAATTCTTTGAAACTCGTTCCTGGCAAAAATAAAATAAAATAAAAATAAAATAAAAAATAAAAATAAAAATCATAGGCAAAGTCAAAAGACCAATGACAAACTGGGAAGTAACATTCACAATTTATCTTCCAAATAAATAATCTTCCTTCCATCTTTAGAAATAAAAACAACAGGCCGGGCGCGGTGGCTCACGCCTCTAATCCCAGCACTCTGGGAGGCCAAGGCAGGCAGATCACGAGGTCAGGAGCAAGACCATCCTGGTTAACATGGTGGAACCCTGTCTCTACTAAAAATACAAAAATTAGCTGGGCGTGGTGGCATGTGCCTGTAATCCCAGTTACTCGGGAGGCTGAGGTAGGAGAATTGCTTGAACCCGGAAGGCAGAGGTTGCAGTGAGCTGAGATCACACCACAGACCTCTAGTCTGGTGACAGAGCAAGACTCTGTTTCAAAAATAAATAAATAAATAAAAACAATAATTATCAAAAATCCAATATACAAATAAGCAAAAGACATGAACCAACAGTTGACAAAAAGACAAAAGTCTTTAAATGTTTTTAAAGATGTTCAACTATCCTCATAAATGTAAATAAAAACTACGCTGAAATAGCACTTCTCACCTATCTGACAAAAATCTGCTCTCGTGACAAGCCTCAGAAGAAACTGAAAGTCGCAAACACTGTGGATGAAAGTACAAAATAAAATCCCGAAAAAGGGGAATTTTGCAGGATCTAATAAAAGTACACATGGCAAAATTACCCAGTACTTAATGCAGCTGTAAAAAGGAGTGAGGAAGATCTCTATGTGCTATTATGGAGTAATCTTCAAAACATATTGTGAAATAAAAAAAAAGAAAGGAGGAGAACAGAGAACATAGACTACTACATTGTGTATGAGAAGGAAGAAAAAGCAAGTACTTTCTTTTACAACAAAAAAGTAATAAAAATGTTCACCTATAGGGGGATACTGTGAAGACTGAAAACAGATTGACTTCGAACCTATTTATATAGAGAGAAAGAATTAAACCAGAAATTGAAAACTCAGAATTAGAGAAACAGAAATAAACCACTATTAACATTGAATCGGTAAAATATCTACACAGAAAAAAAAGATATGAAGAGACTTTTTTTTTCTGAGACAGAATTTCATTCTTGTAGTCCAGGCTGGAGTGCAGTGGCACGATCTCGGCTCACTGTAACCTCTGCCTCCCAGGTTCAAGCGATTCCCCTGCCTCAGCCTCCCGAGTAGCTGGGATTACAGCCGCCTGCCACCACGCCCAGCTAATTTTTCTGTATTTTTAGTACAGACGGAGTTTCACCATGTTGGCCAGGCTGGTCTTGAACTCCTGACTGACCTCAGGTGATACACCTGCCTCAGCCTCCCAAAGTGCTAGGATTACAGGCGTGAGCCACTGCGCCCAGCCCGGAAAAAAGGCTTGAAGTGACTTCTAAACTCAGTGTTCTGTCTCTACATCCTCAGTAGTATATATTGAAAGGACTATGCCCTTTGGAAAAACCTGCAAGGAAATCTTAAATTTTATTCAATAGTTTTAATTTTAATACAGCAATTTTAAAACATTGTATGTGTATTGTAAGATAAAGCAAATAAGTAACTAAGTTGATGTCATTAAGAAATCACTATTTTCAGTGTAAGAGAAAATGAATAGAAATGTATAATGAAATAAGGGGAAGAACTTCTCTTCTGCTAAATTTGACTTGAAAACATTAATACAAACTCAATTATTTTTATTTCTTAGTTCTGACCACTGAAAGAGTTCTGAAGCAATGGCCTCCTATTGCAATGGTACCCAAGATCGTGGTTTTCAAATTATCATTCTCCCCTAAAAGGAACCAAAGTTTCTTGGAGAAGAGGTTCCAGGTGTTAGAAAAGCACAAGATGAAAAGTGACTTACCCAAATTGAAAATGAATACAACTGAGATACATGTCCACTACCACCATACTGTAGTAAACAATCTACTCCTAGATGAGGCATTCCAATTTACTTTTTTGTTTTGCCCTCTTCACGTGCAATGGTTTTACATTACACTGCAGAAGTTGTGGCCTCATATCAGCAAGGTCACAGGATATAAGACAAAAACTCCTATATGCTAGCAATGAAGACACTGACACCAAAATTTAAAATACCATATTACTTACAATCGCTCCAAAGAAAATTAAGCTGTTAAGTGTAAAGCTACTGAAACATGTACAGGACTCATATACTGAAAACTAACAATGCTGATAAAAGAAATCAATGATGTAAACAAATGCTGAGACATACCATGTTCATAAATTGGAAGACACAACAAAGATGTCAATTCCAAAATTAATCTAAAGATTTGATGTAATTCCTACCAAAATCTCAGCAAGATTTTTTCCTAGATACAGAAAAGTGTATGCTAGAATTTATCTGAAAAGACAAAGGAACTACAATAACTAAAACAATTTTGAAAAAGAAAATAAAGGGACAATCATCAGCCTGCCTGATTTCAAAACTTATTATATAGCTGTAGTAATCAAGACAGTATATTATCAGCTGGGGGACGGGTACACAGATCAATGAAATAGAACAGAAAATGCAAAAACGGATAAAGACACATGTCCAAGTGATTTTTGGGAGCGATGCAAAAAAAATTCAATGGAGAAAAAATAGGCTTTTCAACAAATGGTGCAGGAGAAATTGCATATCCATGGGTTTAAAAGCAAAAAAAGAACCTCAACCATATACAAAAGTTAACTCAAAATGCATCAAGGACTTTAATGTGAAACATAAAACTACAGACCTTTAAAAAGAAAGTAACACAGGAGAAAATGTTCAGGATCCAAGGCCAGGCAGAATTCTTAGCCTCCACAGCAAAAGCATGATCCATAGAAGAAAATATTTATCAATTTGACTTCATCAAAATTAAAAACTTTTTCTATGCAAAAGACCTTGTTAAAAGTATGGAAATATAGTCTACAGAGTGAGAATATATTTGTAAGCCAAATGTTCAGCAAATGCCCAGTATTTAAAATATATAAAGAACTCTTAAAATTCAACAGTGAAAAACGATCCAGTTAGAAAATGGATAAAAGACATAAAGAAATGTTTCACTGAAAAGGATATACAGATGACAAATAAGCACATGAAAAAACAATGTTCAACATTAGGGGAATGCAAATTAAAACCAAAATAAGGTATCACCACATAGCTCTTAGAATGGCCAAAATGAGAGATAATGGTAACACCAAATAATGATGAGGATGTGAAAATGGATCATTCACACACTTCTGGTGACAATGTAAAATAGTATACCACTTCAAAAAAGGTTTCTTAAACCAGGGGTCCCCAACCCCCAGGCCACCAACTGGTACCAGTCTGTGGCCAGTTAGGAACCAGGCTGCACAGCAGGAGGTGAGCGGTGGAGGAAGGAGCATTCCCGCCTGAGCGCATCCTGTCAAATCAGCAGCAGCATTCGATTCTCAGAGGAGCACAAACCCTACTGTGAACTGCATAGGTGAGGGATCTAGGCTGCATGCTTCTTGTGAAAATCTAATGCCTGATGACGTGAGGTGGAACAGTTTCATCCCAAAACCATCCACACCACCTCCCACCGCTGGTCCATGGAAAAATTGTCTTTGATGAAACCAGTCCCTGGTGCCAAAAAGGGTGGGGCCCACTGTCTTAAACAATAAACATATAATTAACATATGAGCCAACAACTGAATTCCTAGGCACTTATCACAGAAAAAAAAGGATACACAATAAAACCTATACAGAAACGTTTATAGCAACTTTATTTTAAACAGCCAAAACATGGAAACAACCCAGATATCTTTAACAGGTGAATGGTTAAACAATCTGCGGTACACAGTTTCCATGGAACACTACTTAATAAAAAAGAAATGAACTACTGAAATACACAACAATCTAGATGAATCGTCAGGGAACTATGCTGAGTGAAAAAAAAAAAAGCAATATCCAAAGTATAATTCCATTTATATAACGTTTTTGAAATGATAAATTTATAGAAATGGAGAACAGATTCGTGGTTGCCGAGCAGTGTGGAAGGAAAGAGGAGAGGTGGGTGTGGCTATAGAAGGGCAACATGAGAGATCCTTGTGGTGATGGAAATGTTGTTTCTTGACTATACAAAAGTCAATATCCTAGAGGTGACATCACTCCACATTTAACAAGATGCCACCACAAGGGGAAACTGATGAAGGGGGCAGAGGATTTCTCTGCATTATTTCTTATAACTGCGTGTGAATCTACAGTTGTCCTAAAACAAAATTAAGTGGATATTTTTAAGTGACTAAACTACACGGAAATGAAATGTTTATCATCCTAAAATTATCCAAGTTTTTCTCAGAAGTCTAATAACACACACATGGAAAACTATAAAAGTATAAATAATTCCAAAAAGTACCTTTTACATGGTATATGAAAATGTCTTCAGGGAAGAAAACTGGTTGTATATTCATTTAATTATCAACAAATATTGTTTTCCATTTTCAATATTATGTCACACTGCAAAGTGCTGGCTTACAAAGTAAATACAAATTAATTTATCAAAATTAATTTTCAATCTTGTACATTTCTTCAGAAGTTTGAAAAGAAAAAAGTAATTATGTTTTTAAAATTTTTTTAATTTAATATTTGAATGAGGCTTGTAAAGATATAGGAAAAACTATGGAAAATTGGCATTCCTTTAGATATAGTAAATCCAAGAATAATTATGAATTTGGTGCTGTAAAAATTTTCTTCTGCTATATATTTGTGATTAATCACCAAAATACTAGTCAAATAAGAATATTACCACGATAACAAAAAGAGAAGATTCAAACAGGTGTTACATAAATCCTTTCCAAGAAAAGTCTTCAAAAAGATAGTCTTTAAAAAGGTGAAAGAAGTCTGCACTTACACTCAGCTCACACGTGCATGTGTGTACTGTACTATGTGAAAACAGATTACACACTGTCGTAACTGGCCACCTAATGCCTCAGGGATATATAGGGTTCTCCCAGGGTTGATTTCATCCAGATTCTACAGTAAGAGTTATTTATCACAGCAAAGTCCTCAGATCAAAATGCTATTACAAGAACTAGGTCCCTTCACTCAGAAAAATTATTTTTCTTTCCTTTCCTTTCTATCCTGCTTTAAAATCACAATAATAAACTTTAAATCCTTTAGGTCTGGGAGTTTTGCAATAAAGCGCGGTGCCAAGACATAACTCAATGTGGA